GTGAGTAGCATATACCCAGCACCACATTTTACCTGTCCTCGGGGTGCACTTGTCTGGGCGGCCGGGTGACCCGAGGGTTGTGGAGCAGGCGACCGGGCGATAAGTGCGGGAGCGGGAGTGGCACGCCGGTTATCAGTAGGCCGGGGCGTGGCATGGCGCGGCGCGGGTTAGGTTAGTGTGGCGGGGGTCAGTAATGCCGGTATGCGGCCCGGCAGACATGTGTCCTCCCTGACGCCTAGGCTCGCCGGCTCGCCGGCCGGCCCGGCGGGCCTCGGGGGGCCGGCGGACTTCTACTTGAGCTCCTACGGGGGCTCACGGGGTCGAGAGCGCTTTCAGGCCGACACATAAGCCCGGCTGGGCAGCGTATGTTTCCATTACCCCCAACGCGCGCTGCTCGCACTAAGCCAACAGTACTTGTCGGGTCCGAGCGTTGCGTGGCGTCGGCTCTGGTCAACATCACGTGTGTGCGTGTGTGTGCGTGAGCGCGGCCGGCTGGCCGGCATAACATCGTGCAATGCGTGCAACTCATCAGATTTGAGAACTGGGGCACATCTGCGCTCGGCCCTGCCCGGTGTACAGTACTCGCGCGCGCACATGCACACACACACAGCTTGGAGTGGGCCGGCCGCGCGGCTATGGGCGTTGGTTAGTTTATCTAAGTGCGAATGGCGGGCGTGGTGCGGCCGGCACTGCGGCTCACGTCGCTTCTGACTTGCACACACACACACACGCTCGGTGTGTGGACGGGACGACAATGTTGCGTGGAGCGCCGCGTGTAGTATAAGCGATATGGATTATTGATGATGGGCTGCTGCTCAAAGTTCGGCCGCGTTCGACATTCCTCTCTGCGCGCCTGTCAGGCCGGACAGGTCGCATCACTGACGGGGGCATTGTCACTTTGAACAAATTATGAGCGGGAGGAAGGGAAAAAACTGTAACGGGCGTATGTGGGGGGCGGCGCCACCGGCGAGGGGCCGAGCGCTGCGCATTGGAACCGCAAAAGATCTGCGCGCACATGTGTTATTTGGGGAAGAGATTCTGGGAGAGAGAGAGAGAAAGAGAGAGGGGCAGAAAAAATGGGGTTGGGACACGGTGGGTTGGGGAGTAAAGGGGACCTCGAGGACGATAGGGTGAGGAGCCGGCGTGGGAACGGAGAGAGGGAAGGGTTGGGGAAGGGGTCCACGTCGACGCCAACCCCGCGCCGCATACCGCTCTAAATCCTGCGCCCCGTGCAATGCATTCCTGTTGTTGTTATTTTTATGCATTTGCTTTCTGTTTCCACTATTCACCTCGTCCCCATTTTGCATGGGAAGGAATAAGGGTCCTTGTTGAAGTCCGCTGTAAGCTTTCTGACGCAGTGCCCGGTAGAACGTGCGTGTGTGTTGTGTATGTGTGTGTCCACCAAAGTAGTGCACAGCGCCGATAATTATAAAATACAAACCATTAACCCCGTGTTTCGATCGGATGAGTGAATTGTGACCACGGGGCCGCCCTCTCCAGCCGCTCCAGAGCGCCTCCAGCGCGCGCTCCGCAGTTATAAGCAACGCCCTGTGGATTACCGCGTTCGCTAAAGGTAGGTATACGGAGCGCGGCGCTGGAGACTGCGGCTGGAGCCTGCCTGCGGCTGGAGCCCGGGCGCGGCCCCGGACCCCAACGCGAGCCTCCTGGCGAGCGGCAACATCCGGCCCAAACACAACGGCACGCCGCTGCCGCCGCGGACCATCGGCGCCCCGAAACAGAAAGGGCCGGCCTTGCCTTGTCCCCGCAGCGGTCGCGGCCAGTCCGAACCAACCCCGTAGGCGTGCTACTGTGTGTGTGTACATATGAAAGACGTGTAAATATATGTGTGTGTGAATTATAACCCGACCTTTGTGGAAGTACTTAAATGTGTATTTTATTACACACTTTGCGAGGAGCTTTTCTGTTTGTGGGGGTACTGCGTCAGTATATGTGTCGGTGTCTAGTGCTTCTTTTTGAACGCACAGGGTGGTTCAAGATTCTGTACATACTCTGACTGCGGCGGCCAGTAGGGGCAGAGAGAGGTCTTTTCAGGCCTAACTGAAGTGGCTCCTATCCCGGGCGGGGCTAGTGCTGTGTATGTGTGGCGCGTGGCTAAAGAAACGCCCACCTTATTGTGAAGTGTGTGCGCCAGAGGTGCTATACGGGCGTCCCTCTACATTTCATGTTAACCCCCCCTGCTGCGACTCTTTGCCGCACGTGCCCACTCTGGATTGTGTTTATGAAAGCCTTGTCGTCGTCGGCTTCTCTGTGCGTTATATTTGTTTGCGGATGTTTCGCGGCCCGGCCCGACCAGGGGGCCGGCGCTGCGCCGCGCAGTAGTGTCCTGACTGTACTTGTTGTTTACGGGGCCTGCCCCAGGGCCCCAGCCGCCGCGGCCCTCCTGGCCCGGTGCGGTGCTGGGCGGCTATCTCCCGAAGAGTAGCCCCGTTTGCGTCCGCAGCTATATCGACGCGCGCCCCGCCACCTACAATAGACTCGCCGCATCCCATCTGCATGCCGTGTGTCCGATGGCCAGGTGGCTGTCACCCGCGGCACTAGTAGTTTGTGGTGCCATTTGTGTAGGTGCTAATTAGCACCGCCGTGACTTGCCGGTGGGCTCGCGCCCTGGCGCGTGGCAGGGAGCGAAGCGGGGGATGGCACAGCTGCAGGAGGTGGGAGGCGCGTGACTCGCGTGAGAGTGTCATGGCGCGGAGGGACGGGCACAGCTGCAGGTGCCAATGGTCGGGCACATGTCTAGGGTGCGCGCGCGGGTGGCATGGCGCAGAGCAAAGGGACGCGGTAAACGCAGCTGCAGGTGCGAGGCACGCGTCTCCCGTGCGGGTTGCGGGTGACACAGCTGCAGCAGGTGCTGGCGCGGGCCTCTCGCCAGTCACGAGGCCCAGTGCGTTCGTCTCCCCGGCTGCCTGGGGCCCGGCTCGTGTCGGGCTCGTGTCGCGGCCGCCGCGCGGGCTTCCGCTCCGCTTTCAATGGGACGCGACACGTTATCTCGGGCCGTATGCGCGGAGCGGCGCGGAGTCGCGTGGAGGCCGTAGGGCAGGGGCTTTGTGGCGGCGTGTGGGCCGGGGACCAAAGGGCGCTTGGCGGACTTACACACGAAAGCCGTTCCACGACGGCGTCCTCAATGGAGGCTGGAGAGCACTTCAAGGTCGCGCGGGCGCCCCGGCCCGGCCCCGGGCGCCTATTTAGACAGGTGTGGGGCCGCCGCGCCTTTCTGCGAGTTGCGGACCTTACCTTACCTCCGCGAAGCGCCTCGCGCCTCACCGCCCTTGTCTCACTGTGTTTACTCGCCTCTTTTCTGCCGTGAACATTTCGACATTTCGTTTTATTCTGGCGAAACTACCCCTGAATGAGTAATTTGTTACGGATTTACATTCCCCTCGCTACCACGTCCAAGCAATGTTCGTCCACGTACCGGACGCTGCATAGATGGATAGTCGTCGACCACTGTACATCCACGTGGATTCCGCGAGGGCAATGCTTTGGCAGTGTTCTCGACGATGGCCATTATGGGGAGTTCAAATTCTGTTTCGCGTCGCAGTAGTCCCAAAAGTGCCTTAGCTGATATGTGTCTCTGTAATGGTCTTCCGGCAAGAGCCGTGTGCCAAAATCAGGCGGGCCAAGCCGAGTCTCGGGGTCTGCGGGCGTAGAGAGGAGTTGGGTGGGATGGAGCATTCCCGCCCGCCCCAGGAGGAGCCCCCCGCTCCCCCAGTGCAGGGCCTCTCCCCTCAACCCCTCCACGCCGCCCGCGCCGCCCCTCGGCCGCGCCTCACGCCTGCCGGGAGGAGGCCGCCGCAGGGTGGCGTGGCGTGCGGTGGCGCAGCCGGGAGGAGGCGGTGAGGGTTGGCGACGCTCACCTCGCTGGTGTTGAGTATGTTTTGTGTGTCTGTGTGTGTGATCTCTTCTTGACGGTCTGGGAGAGTCCGCGACGTGACGGTATGTGTGGCGTGGCGGGGGGTGTCACAGGACACGTATATGATGTTGATCCAGGTGGCTTCGCGATCTACCCACCAGCCTCCCCCTGCCCCCTGCAGCAACTTTCATGTCACCGCGACGGTTTATCTCGCTATCCCGGCGTGAACGAAACCGAGAATGGTATGTTTGAAAAAAAAAAAACGCGCGCTCCCGTGTGATAAGGGAACGTGGAACGCGGGTGGGAGAAGGCGCGCGACAGTGACAGAGAAGCGAGAGAGAGAGGGAGAGAGAGAGAGAGAAAGGGAGATCACGTCTGAGAGAGCGGGGAGAGGGAACAGAAATAGGGCTCGATTGATACAGTGCGTGCGTGTGTGCGTCCAAGTCGTCGAAGTAAACAATGTTATCGCGGGAGTACACGTGGGGCAGGGGCTCTCGTACTGTATGCGCGGGCTGTACAGCGCGTAGTAGTCCGGCCTAGCCGCTGGTCCCGTAGTCGCGCTCCGTACACTGGGGAGCGTGGTACAGTGTAGCAGAGGGTGTGTGTGCTGTACTGTAGTTCGCCCTCCTCTTCACTCTTGTGCGGCAAACTAGCTTTTTTTCGCTTTGCAGTATAGGACTCTAGGCGAGGGGGGACAAGAGTTGCCAACTGGTGTGTCGGACGAGCAGAGCAGGCTGCTGCAGTGGGGCGCATGTGCACGTGATGTGCCCGGGCAGCGTGACGGGCGCGCGCACACAGACAAAGAGACTTCCCTCTGCAGGCCGCCCAGCGGGCGCGTCCCCCCCAGCCAGGCCCCTCGCCCACCGAAAACTGGGTCGGATTTTGGGAGGTTCGCATCGCAGACCCCCTCCCCCTGCCCCCCAGACCCGCGGCGCGCTCGCTGCAGGCGCCCGCTTTTCGACGCCAGCAGGGCCGAGCCTCGCGTTTGCGAACAGCGATTTTGTCAGGACGCCCGTCCGTCTGTCCGCCCGCCCGCGTGTGTGTGTGACAGTGAGGTCCGTCTGTCGTCTGGTCGATCCTCCGGACTCGTTCGGCCCCTCTCGCTCGCCTCACGCGAGCGCGACAAGGA